AACTCTGCAATTTTAAAAAAGTTATTACACACTTTAAATTAGTCTTTACAATTCACTTATTAATCATGTTTAAATTTCTTTATAAGTTACAAATTAAATTGAATTATAGTTGTTATTATTGAATGTTTCACAAGTTCATGAGAATACGATAATTATTACATACTACAACCACTTAGTACGCTTGTTGGTACAAAAAATATTAACGAGTTGTCCTTGTAATAGACTTCTCATTTCATGGCTAGATTTTTGCTGCAATAAACAAACTTACACCACAATGTAATCTTTTAGAATGATTACAATTAACTACCAATGAGACCTATATTTTATGACATACAAATTAGTTAATAATTAACATGATTAAAAAAATCAATTAAAATAATAACATTTCAATGTATGAAGTCAAATATAAGTCAAATTATATGTTAAATATAATGATTATAATGTCGAAATATAAATGAAAATGACTTATACACTTGTAAAAAAAAAGACTTTCTATAACGGTTTATTTTAGACTTTTTATGTTGATTGTAAAATCGAGATAGATCTAGACGACATAAAAGATATAATTTCTATGTCGGTTATTAAATAACCGACATAGTAAGTACTTACTATGTCGAGTTCTTAACATAACCGTCATAAAAAGTCTTATGTTAAATATTTTTTATATAATTATATTCCTCACAAATATTTTATCAAACAGTTTCAATGCAACATATTTCAAAAATTAAACACAAGTTTTATCCACATACGAAAACATAATTAAACATAAAATATAATATATTCAATAAAATTAGATGAAAAATTATTCGTAAATGAAAAAATTCATAATAATAATTGCAATATAACATATTAGATAACTCCACTAAACCAAATCGGGAAATATAAACTAATACGAGAAAAATGAGATAATGCTTATATATTTTACCTTTGTTGTAAATAAGAAAGAAGCAAGATTGTGAGAAGTGGTGATTCAAGTATGAGAAAAACAAAAGTAAATGAATGTGATGAGAAGATAATGAAACAAAAGAAAGAAAAAGTTGAGAAGAGTTCTTCCTACAAGGAAAAAAAATGGAAAATGAAACAGATGAAGAGGATAAAATGATGTTGAATATTTTAAATATGGGCACTGACGATTTAATTTTAATCGACATAAAAAGTGCCTCATATTTAAAATTGACAAAGTCACTTTCTATGTCGGTTCAAAATTGAACCGTCATAATAAATACTTACTATATGACGGTTCAAAATCAAATCAACATAAAAAAATGTCTAAATTATAATTTACAAAACAATTACTATGACGGTTTAAAATTGAATGGATATAGAATCTACTTACTAATAAAAAATAAATTTTAATTACAAAATTACTACCGTCCAATTTATTATGACGGGTGAATTAGAACCATCATAATAAGTCATCATAAAATACTATTTTTATATTAGTGACATGACAAACAATTGTATAATGAAAATGTTTAACATATAGTTTTTCCTAGTAGGCAGAGAAATGTACAGTGGAAGAGAAAAATTATCAACTCCAAAAATTATTGTGTCTCATTGTATCTGAGTTGGTCTCTTTTTCCATTATTATAATATGGTAAGAAGCATAGATACGAAATCATTCTCAACTTTTGTCATTTTTTCATCAATACCATGTTCTCTCCTATGTTTATCACGTTCGATAAAATTTTAAACAAATAATAAAAATTTGTTAAACATTGTTATAATTATAAGAATACAAAAGGGAGAGAAAGAATATAACATATATTACATTTTCCCGTGAGTGACATCACTAAATGTCTTGGACAAGCCAAGAATGTGTTGTTTGTATGTCTCACTAGTTAAACCTCCGTATTGGATAAAGACACTGGAGTAGCGACATCATAAATTTCATCAACCACTACCTGTGTCTAGTCTGGTTATAAAAGGTATATCTAACATTTTTGTTATTGTTGACATAGTTGATATGTTTAATATTTCTCCATGTCACATATCCATTATATATATGTTAACAATACCAAACACAAACAGGTAATCGCAAGTGATTACATATATCCTCAAATTCCTAAATTCAAACAATGAATGCATGGGTAATAATAATTTTACCATTTTTTATAGAATTTTCATTTTGACGAGCAAATTGCAAAAACTCTTCAACTCCATTTTCTACTTTTTACTAATTTGATGTGCATTGATTCAACTCTCGTCACCTATGTCACAAATTTAATCATCATCAACTATACAAATTTAATAATAACTGATTTTTGCCCATAACTATCTTAGGTTACAAATTTAATCATCATCAACAAAAAGTTTAAATAAGTAAATGATTAAATAATTTTGTACATCTTAATATTCATATAAAAATAAATTTTAAATATAAAAGCTAATTTCAAAATTAAAAATGAAAAATAGTGATTGAATTTAAAAATAACAAAATCAATCATAACTTCAATTATAATAATCCATTAAAAACATTCATAAAGTGATTGAAATAAAAAACAACTACAAGTTTAATTTCAATAAAAAAGAAAGAAAGATATAAAGTACTAAACTCATTCATAAAAAAATGTCCAAATTTTCAAATTCGAGTCAACGATAAGCATCAATCACCACAAATAAATCACAATATAAGTGTCGGTGTTACTCATCATAGTTGAAAAGTCCTAAAGTTATTGTCACCATCGTTCGTGAGTAAACTCTCACACATAAAATGAAGAAGAAAATACGAAAGTTTTATAACTTCACTACTACAAATAAAGCTTTCAACGTTGGTTCTAGAAGGTTTTCAACGTCGGTTGTTGAACCGACGTTGTATCAGCGACGTTGAAAGTTGTAACTTTCAACGTCGGTTCTAATAAATCGATGCTGAAAGTATGATTTTTTAAATTAATAATTTTTATTTATTTACAATCCCGTTACCCCCTTTTATTTATCTAGAAGTCTCCCCTCTCTTTATATTATATTTTTATTAGGTCCTCCATCTCTTTATATTATATTTCTTAGAAGTTTATTAATTTTTTAAGAGAATTGTCATTGGCGAGGATTCGAACCCGAGTACTTTAGAGTTGGAGGCCGATACTTCAACCACTAAACTACTAGAATTTTCTCGATAATAACTTACAAATAAATTATATTTATATACAAATAAATATATATCCGTGTAAATATATAAATATATAAATACAAATATATTTATATTTATATATTTTGATATATTTATATAGTTATATATTTATATGTTGGATGTAAGGGCACACTCGAAAGTGAAAATGTGTGTCGAGTGGGTTTTCAAAATTTGATGCTAAATTTGTGAGCAGATATCTTTATATGAGTTTGTAATTTAATGACAGAATATAATCTTTATAATTTCATTTATATAATGATATAAAATAAATTTGGGAAACGCATTATTTGCTCTCAAGCGAAAAATACCAATTTTCGCTCAAGCGAGACTTGAGTAAGTGAATTTCAGTAAGCTTTAACATATTTTCACTCAAGCAAGAGTCAATCACACTTTCACCCTCGATCGAAAAATACCAATATAATTTTTTTGTAAGTTATTATCAAAAAATTATAGTAGTTTAGTCGTTGGGATATTAACTTTCAACCCTAAAATACCGGGTTCAAATGCTATCAGTGACAATTCATTAACTTAAGAGAATTTTTGGTCTGAAAATAAAAATAAAAATACTTTCCAGAAAAATATATACAAATAAATATATATTTACATGGATATATATTTATTTGTATATAAATATAATTTATTTGTAAGTTATTATCAAAAAATTCTAGTAGCTTAGTGGTTGGAGTATCGGCCTCCAACTTTAAAGTACTTGGGTTTGAATCTTGTCAATGACAATTTTCAAATTTAAGTGAGTTTTATAAACCAACATAGAATGTGTTTAATATTCAAATTTGTATTGTGTACATGAGATTTGAGGTAAAAAATAGCATTTATGTAGAAATCCATCATGAATATTGCTTTTGACATTGGACTCCGTGCTGTCCAACATAAAAAAAAATCAAATATTTTAAAAAATGTCATATTGTTTACATTTCACTGGTGAAATCTCTTACAACATTTCTTATTTATTTTTAGAATAAACCTTTCCAATATATTTTTTACATTCCAAAGTGTATTTAAAAATCAATGATAAATAAAAAAATATATATAAACAGGTAGAAAAAATTAAGTTAACAATTAAGTTTATTTAATTATTTATATTTTTGTACTTGGAAAATTTAATTAATCATGCCAATCAGTTTCTGAGTAAAGTAGTTTATACCTTGGCACCACCATAGGGATAAGATAGGAATGCCGCAAGTGCTAAGTGTAAGAATTTACTTTTCTTGTTTCCAATTCTTTTCCAGCATTTACATGTTCCTTTCACACCAAATATAAATACGTGATGCAGTTTACGCAAGTACTGGATGTGTTTCACATTTTGACTGGTATGAATAATTAGAATTGTTTGAACGTATAAAGTTACCAGAACATTGAATGAGTTTCTTTTAACGCAGTTTATATTTATTGGGATTGGTTTGCAAGATTGGGCAAGAGAGGGTGTATAGGAGCATGCAGGGGCATGTTAATAAAAATTGATGAGGAAGATGCTGGAAATGTAACATCATACAAATGGGATCAGAATCAGATTCGTATACACCGACCTACCTTCAATAATTCACTCCTATCTTACTCCAATTATCGGAGTATATATTCTTCAAATTCAATCAATTTTCTTTCACTCTTACTGATGAAACAAGTGGTAGTGTTTATCCATCTTTTTTCTTAAGAAATATAATCGACCTTTTTTTTTAAAATATTCCTCCTGGCTCCACAGGAAGAGCTATAGATGAAGCTAATATATGAATTCCTTATGAATTACTATGCTGCTTCTATAAAAGGCCAACGGGTCTCATCCTTTTGAAGTAAAAATCCACACAACCAAACCAGAAAATACATTCTATATTCTGCTGCCCCCATTCCACACATATCCATGGAATCATCTCAAGAGCACCTCAGAAACATTGCTTTAGAAGGTTTCGATTTCATAGAGAAGTTCTACGGTCGAAGGAGCACTCCCAATGATGCATTTCCTGGTCGACGTGATGGCTTTTGGGCTATTCATCAAGTCCCTAATGGCGAAATGGAAAAGCCTACTCTGAAACCCAAAGAGGTTCCTAACTATACCACACCAGCTTCAAATTACCCCAGGGGAAAACCCCAGAATCGTTGGGGTAGACCCACCAAATTTTGATCACTCTGGCTTACATGTTTGAGTTATCTTCAAGAGGGTCTCTATGATCCCGTATGAACGTATGTGAACATCTACTCTGTAGAGCTCGATGACTTGCCAATTTATATAAGGCAAAGGTCTTCTGCAGCTGAGGAGGGATATGTAGTTTTATAAGTACCCTCTGTATTTTGTGAGTTTGTGTGTGGTCATGAATTCTCTCTGATTAAGTGGATGCATGTTATATACAAGTGTTGTGTGTTCTCATTTCAATCACTACCCAAATTCATGTTATACAAGTAATGAAATCACCGATGTTTACCTTATGATAACACCAAATTTCGTGGCTCAAATTGGTAGATTGGACATGTATGACAAAAGGTTCCACTTCCTCTCTCTTAATTTGAACAAAAAATATATAAACAAAAATGAACTCATAAGCTGCAGTTCATGGTTATCGAACCTTAAACATTAGCTTATATAGGTGCTCAGGAGTTCCAAGATAAACACTAGACGAAGTCAACTATTTCTCAATGTCAATGTAACAGTTCCAAGATAAACACTCGTTACAAAAGGGATTTTCAAATAATCTAGTGAATATTCCTCTTGATGGCACTGCTACCCATAAACATAAATAAACAATCTTTTTTCCTCTGAATGTTGGAGCTTGTAGCTGGTACAGTGATCCTTAAATATAGTGGTTGGAGACGGCATTACGATGTTGTTTTTACAATAATGCATTATCACGTTGTTAATTAGGATGTCAAAAATGAGTTTATTGTGATAGTTACTGTTCGAAAGACCAAAGAAATACTAGTATAAGAAAAAAATTATGATCTTAGTTAAGTTTAATTCAATTTGTGGATATTATAGTTTATATGGATTTAGGTTTAGTTAGTCATGTATTTATAAGTTATTTATTTTATAAAATAATAATTATTTTTTAAATAAAAATAAAAATGAAGTTATTTTATTAATATATATATATATATTATAAATTAATTTAATAGAGATTTATTTATTTTATAAATAAATATAAGAGTAAGTTTCTAATATACATACTTATTTTATAATTTAATAATTAAGATTGAATCATTATTTTTAATTATTAGATTATTAAAAAAATAAATTATAATAATAAAATATTCTTAGTTTGAAATGAATGAAATCTTTTTTTTGTCTTTTGTAATTTATATATTAAATTATTATATAAAAAGTAAAGTATAATTTTATTAATATAACTTACATTTTAATTTTTATTTTATTTTCAATCAAAATCAAAATTCACTTGTTAAATGATATAATATAAGATGAGATTAGGCTAAAATTGATCCAATGATTTAACATAAAATCAGATTAGATGGAAAATTATAATCTATTTTAAAATATAGATTATACTTACTATCAATGTTTTTTTTTCTTGTCTTCTAATACTAGGTTAAAATGTGTCAGATGGTCTGTTTTGGGAATACTATTGTTAATACGCTTACAAAGAAAAATTATGTATATATAGTTGTAATTTTTTATTATTTATCTGCTGTTTAAACCTTATGTAAATATATATTTTTATGGTTGTTCGTGTTGATAAAACATCTTTATAATAGGTAATTTAAAAGCTTGTTTACATTTGTTGGGGTTTTTTATTCTGTTATAATTATAATTATTTCGTTTTTAATCAAGATATTTGAGCGAATATATGAACCTTGAATATTTTTAATTAAGCCTCATGTAATTAATTTTTTAAAAATGTATTATAAGTTTGATTTGGGTACAACTAATTCAAGTGACTTATGCTTAAATGTGTTAAAATTGTATAGTCAGTATATTCAATCACCATTTTGTTATTCAAATAACTTATATTGGAGTAAGTATGTGAGAGATAAAATTAAATATTTTTTCTTTTTTTCTTAAATTTAGTGTCAGAAATCTAACTATGTTAGTTTTTAGCCTAAAATTAATTGTCAATGACAAACATATAAGTGTTATCTAGAAAATTAAAATAAACAATGCGATTTTTTTTTTTTTATTATTTCTCATTTCCATCGATTAAAATGTCTACTAATAAATAAGATTTTATTTTTAAAACAAACTATGGAAAAATATGATAAAAATATTCTACCATTTAAAAAAATAAATCATTAAATATATATTCTCCGATCAAAGAATTATATATTTGAAAATAACACGTTACAAATATTCTCTATGACATCTAAGCTCACATAGAAGTTAATTATTAAAAGAAAGAATACTCTTCTTTAAAAACATGCTTGTAATTATTTATTGTATTGTTTGAGTATTTTTAAGCTTATATTTAAATAATTTAATAAAATAGGATCAAAAGATTATATTTTTACGATTTATAAAAATTGATTTAATATTTTTAGTATATATATATATATAAAACAAAGGAATATAATAAGATATTAAATCTTTTTAGAAACTAATATACTTTCATTCAATATATAAGTGGATAATTCTATATTAAGGGAATCTTAAACCTACTGCAGCTTGCAAATGGGGTGTGTATGTTGGTAGTATGAAAAAGAGGGGCAGAGAGGTTGGTAGATATGGTACAATAAAAAGAAAAAGTATATAATATAATATTAATTAATAAGCTAATCATTTAATGATATGACAGTAGATATAGATAGATATGGCGAGCTGATATATATAGACAAATGGAAAGAAAAAATAGTTATGACTCACTTTATTATTATAATAATCATTAACAAATTTTATAAAATTAAAAATAATTTAAAAATAATTATTATATTATTAGATAAAGTTATAGGAATAATGTCCGTTAAAAAGTAGTGTATCAATCATTTTTCATATATGGTGTATCTCATAAGGAAAATGATATTTTTACACCACTATTTACACAAACAACTTTTAAATAACTGTATTTTATATTATAATAATAATTTTAATTTTTTTAGTTTTATTAAATTTCTTTGATGATTATTAAATTAATAAAATTAGTTTTTTTTTTTAAAGGTTGCGAATATATCATTGCCCTATCTCATATATATGCTTTTGAGATATTTCATTTAGTTTTCTTTTTAATGGACGGTAGGTGCAATATTCTTACAGAATGCCTCATATATCTTACATAGTTGTGGCCGAACGCAACGTATTAAATACGTAGATAATGGAGCATCGTATCTAAATTCTTTCCAATTCCCTCCCAAGCATTAACACCTAAATGCCTTCATTAAAAAATGGCTGGAGAATAGCTACAAAACAAATTAAGCTCTTCCTGCAATAGTTAAACCACACCACGTGTACTGTCACATGAATAACTACTACATATGAGTGTATCTGTACACTGACGAAATACAATGATGCACATCATGTGGGTCCAAACGTGACACTTGTTAGGTAAAGAACCATACTTGCTTTGCCTATAAATGGGACTCAGTTTGCTAATTTCGATCAAGAAATTAACACAAAGCAAATCGTAGTAATTCGATTTGTAATAGTATATACATCCCAAATACACACACGGAGTCTGTATGGCACATCAGTCAGATCTTGTTAAAATAGGAATGGAAGGGTTTGATCTCATAGACAGGTTCTATGGTGCACCACCCAGAAGGCCAGGTCACGTGAAGCATAGACAGGGACGTTTAGCGATCGAAAAAATCGGTCGCTCATGTCAAAAAATCGGTCACGTACAAAGCTAAGTCGCTAATGTGTTAGCAACTGATTTTCATTTCGGTCGCAAAATAGCGACCGAAATTAATATATCCAATTGGTCGCTAAATCGGTGACAAAGTTAAAAAAATAACAACCGATTTTCATTTCGATCGCAAAATAGTGACCGATTTTATTTCGGTCGCAAAATAGCTGTTGAATTATTGGCAAGCGTACCAAATTATCAATCGCAGTATAGTATTTCGATTAAATAAAAGTCGATCCCACGAGGAACAGTTTCAATGGAAATTCCCAATTATGTTTACTAAGTAGATTAAAATAGATTAGGTTTTTCAAATAAGAGTTGAATTGAAATTAAATGACAAAGAACTGTAAATTGTTGAGAAAATATCAATTAAAGGTACTTAGGATTGGCTTCCTTCCTTATCTCTCTTTTGTAATAGCTTTGTCAATTAAGAACGTCAATTAACCTAACAATGTTGATGCCACCTACTCAAATCATCCATGTTGATTCCTCACACATGAAATTCATAAGAAAACCTAATAAATGTTGATTCCTCACACAATTAACAGATTTTCCAGCATTAGGGTTAGGGTGTTTAAGCAATTGATACATTCATTCAATTCCTGGCAATTAACGTAACAAATATTCTTACCGTGATCTAGGGTTCAAGATATATTTTCCAATCATACCTCAAACAATCAAGAATAAATCATTTCAAAGCATAAAGGATAAGAATAACAACATCAAAGCATAGATTAATATATCAAAATATCACCATGATACAAAAGAGTTCAAAGGAAATGCACCGAATCCTAAGAGAATGAAGTTAGCCACTCATTTTGGCCATTACAATCACTACAAGAAAAAACACATTAAGCCACCGAAATTAGCGACCGAATTTTTTCGGTCGCAATTAGCGACCGATTTAGCGACCAAAATATGATTTGGTTTTCACTTTTTTATTTAGCGAACGAAATAGCGACCAATATTTTGCGTCACAAAATTTCGAGTGGCTATTTCATACTAAAATAAAAAAATCATTTAGCGACTGATTTTTAGCGACCGAATTATAAATTGAAATAGTGACCGAATTAAAATCGGTCGCTAATGAGAAAATAGCGTACTAATTGAAATCGGTCGCTAATGAATATTATTTTTTTATTATATTTAAAATTATTTTTTTATAAATATACTTTAATTGTTTTAGTATATTTTTTACAATTTATTTTTTAAAAGTAATTTATTTTTTAAAAATAATTTAATTTTTAAAATATACTTTAAAAATAAACTTTCGTCTCAATATTAACAAAATGAATTGTAATAAATCAAATTTATTAAAAATTTAAATTGTAATAAATTAAGA